CCAATCTATGATTTGTGATCAGTAAAAAGAATAAGATATAAAATAGAAAAGTGACTCGTGATGCCAATTTAGATTCTAAAAATAAAATATTGTCGGCCTAACGTGTATTTTTATATGCAGAGAAAGTAGTTTTATTTTAGAGAAGGGAAGATTATTTTAAGGGGATGAATTTAAGTCTTGGGGAACTGAGTTGTTCCAATCTATGATTTGTGATCAGTAAAAAGAATAAGATTTAAAATAGAAAAGTGACTCGTGATGTCAGTTTGGATTCTGAAAATAGAATATTGTCAGCCTAACATTGAAGTTGAATTTTTATATGCAGAGAAAGTAGTTTTATTTTAGAGAAGGGAAGATTATTTTAAGGGGATGAATTTAAGTCTTGGGGAACTGAGTTGTTCCAATCTATGATTTGTGATCAGTAAAAAGAATAAGATATAAAATAGAAAAGTGACTCGTGATGTCAGTTTGGATTCTGAAAATAGAATATTGTCAGCCTAACGTTGAAGTTGTATTTTATATGCAGAGTAGTTTTATGAAGAAAAAAAAGAAAGAGAGGAAGATTATTTTAAGGGAATGAATTTGAGTCTTATTCCAATGTAAGAAGAAGAATAAAATATAAAAAAAGTGTATCGAAATGTTTGTATATTGAATGTTTTTATATGCGAAAAAAAAGGGAGAGTTTTACCTGTTTTTGAAAAACTCGATGATCAAGGTTAAATTGACTACGATGACGTAGGACGTGATAAAGCAGACAGCGATCAACAAGGACAAGCCGAAAATCAATTTCCATTTCAGTGTTCCGTAATTGTTGTGATGCACCAGAATGTAGAGAAAGGCTGGAATAATGATTGATAAAGTCGACGTGCCAAGTGCCCCGACCACGGCCATGAATAAATCCAATTTAGGAATTATCGCCGCCAAAATACCTGTAATTTCGGTTTACGTTTCGGTTAAATTTCCTTTCTCTTCCATATAGAAATTATTTGAACGTTAAGTGTAACCACGAAACATGTAACACCTTTTTCAAACAAGAAATAACTTTTAAAAAGAAATGAAATGAAATTTATGGTAGCTCTTCCCACCTAATATCGTTCCGCCTTTCCAAACTTTCAAACTTGAATTATTCATGGAATTATTTGCATTTCCAGATTGTATTAATTAACAATTCCAACAATTTCCTTTTTTCTCTACACACTAAGTAAATATCGATTTTCCTTCAACCACACAACATTTAAATTTTTCCCAATTTCTCCGATTCAGAGTTGTTATCATTCGATCAATTTCGTCTACGTTTAAATATAATATTATACTCGGTGATATTTTTTTTTCTTTCCCCCTAAAATTTCGAAAAACTTAAGAAACAAAAATTGGAGGAAACTTGGAAGAGGAGGGAAATTATCTCGGGGGAAGGAACCGATCGAAGAGAGGGAAAAGTTCGGTCCATCGAACCGTCCCTTATTAGAAACGATGAATACTCTCGCGCCAAGAGTTTCTCTATGGGGAAACTAGGCTATCCATACTAAATTTCCCCAAAATAGATTCTCCAACTTTGGTAATATCTAGCTCGCGATGGACTGCAATCGGATCGATCGATCGATCGATCGATCGTACTTGAGTGATTCAATCCGTGATGTAACCCAACTCCCCCCCTCCCCCGAGCCGAGTTTACCTCGAAAGCGTGAAAGGGAAAGGAGGAAAGGGGCCAAGTTTCGAGAGAATTAAATCTACGTGTCGAGATTTGAAGAGGAGATTTGAAGGTGCGCGATATTTGAGAAAGAAAAAAATCGATTAATCCGAAAATATCTCTACGAATAATTCAACTTTTGGAATTTTTGGAAAGACTTTTGCAAAGCTGTCCATAAAAGGATATCATAAAAGTTAGAAGACCATTAAAAGTTATTTCTTATTATTAAAAAATAAAAAACATATATATACACGTACACGTGATGAAAGTAACGACCAAACGAATCATCACGTTCCAGAAGAGGTAAATTTTACCACGAGGCTGGTTATCGTCGTCTCCTGGCATGATGTACTGATCCAATAAAATGATTATCGGCATGTAACATTGTAGGCCGTACGTGAAGTATATGGAGAGGGCTTGCATCACCAGTGCCAGTATCGTCGCTCTAAAACAACGATGATAGACGATTTTCTTTCCTTTTCTGTTTTTTCTTTTTTTTTTTTTTTTTTTTTTTCGTCAACGATCGAATATAAAATGTGTTAGAAGGTATGAGTATCGTATCAGAGGAAATTACGGATCGTTCGTGGTGAAGTTTCGAATGAAATTGCCGTTAGAGTCGGGGCCAAATTTCAAATAGCCGATCACACCGACGAAAGTGTGGAAAAGGGTAATGTGCATCATACCGTGGTTCAACACCCCGGTGAATTTCGTGTAATTCCACGGTTTCTTCATGTCGTGCTCCACTTCCAGCATCTAAACAACGTTTTAATTCAATTTTTGGCACAAAATTTTCTTTTTCTTTATCTTCTTTTTCTTTGCACAAAATCGAAACACGATATCGTGCTCCCCTTTCGAAATCTTTTAAAAATGCTTTAAATCAGGCGTGTCAAACACGAGGAGGTTTATTCAACTTTTGACAACACTGGATTCTTCAATTAATATTATAATTAATAAATAAATTTATATATATTATTATGTAAATATGAATGTAAATATGAATGTATTATATATTATTATGTAAATATGAAGCTTCCCAATGTGTTTTTAACAATTAAAAAAATATTTTATCTATGTTTGGGTAATATTTATGCGAACAATTTTATTTTCCACTTTGAAAAATAATAAAACGGAAAGATGAACGGACATATAAAATATACAAATAATTTTGAAAATAATTACTCAAACTCGACCAAATTTTGAAGATTTAATGAAAAAAAGGTTGACAAGTTTCTTCAAAAAAGAAAAACATTACGATATTTTATTTGAATGATATTAAATTGAAAAAAAGAAACTTTTCTACATACGTATTTTTTACTATATTTTGTGTATTATTATTTTGTATATATTTATTTGTAATCTATGCTTCGTCTTTATTTCCATTTGTTCTCTTTATTTCTCTTAATTTCTTTTATCTCTCTTAATTTCTTTTTTTGGTTTGCAGTGCGCGATTTAATGTATAATAAAAAATGGCTTGTATCGAGTTCGACACGCCTGCTCCAATATTTTTGAAATTTAAAAAAATTTCTAGCGCGTGATAAACGCGGATAGCAAGCGAGAGTGACTCACTATTCCAGGGGAGCTTATGCTGAAGAACACGGTCCCAACGAATTTGGGATAAAGGCCGACGTTCTGGTTGATTGTAACCCATTCACCGCCAATCCCGTCTTTCAACGCGTACACAACGGCTATCACAGCAGCGACGAACAGGAACAAGTTTCCAATGATTGAGATGATCGCTATGTCGTTTAAATATTTCATCATGTTCATCACGAAGAAGAATGGGAACAGTATCAACACTATGTATTTGTGATCTATCCCCTCGAAATCGTAGAATTCTTGCACGATCCCGGATATGAACACAACGTAAACGGCGCCTACACCTATGTAACACATTATTATCGAGCTGTCCACCAGACATCTGGAAAAAAAGATTACGATTGAATTGAATATCCATTTGCAAATATCAATATATTGTTTTATTAATGCATATTTTTTATATTTTTTTTTTATATCATTTTTAAGAAACGTAAGAAACATAACGTGGAAATAAAATTTTCTATTAACTTTTTACGATATGGTAATGTTAAAAATAAAAATAATTATTAATTCATACCTTTTAAAATTAAATTCTATTCTATTTTTAAAAAATTAATTTATTTTTTAATACTAGTATAAATTTTATAAATATAAAAAAAATAATATTCCTTTCTTCTTCAATTTATAAAATAAATATGATACAAAATTTTGAAAATCAATATTAAATAAGATTCCAGAGATTTCTGAAGATTTCTCTTTTATCTTTCCATAATAATAATAATATTGTAAAAAAATAAGGACAAAGGGACCATTTTATAACATTGATGTTGAAATAACAATTTTAATAATTTCCTTCGACGAAATCGAATTATATAATTAAATATTTCGAGTATATAAAGTGGAAGAACGAAAATTTCTGTTATAAGATGGCATATTTTCTCGAGGATTAAAATTGATATACATATACATATGCATATATATGTAAATTTACAAACGTCGCAATTCGGGAGGACAGCCAAGGCTTTTTGTTGCCTGTGGTCAACGTGGCGACCACCACCTCGTCGTAGTTCAAAATCGGCCTCCTCAAACGGATGCACATCTTGCGATGGATCTTGAGCAAAATGTGAAGGCAGCCAGTGATCAGCAATCCAATCAGAATCGTGCCGGCCACTCCGATCACCAAACCGACGCTCGCGAACGCGTTCGGCATCGCGAACAATCCGGTCCCGATCACGCTTTTAATCAAAGTCGCCAGGGATTTGAAGTTGCTGGATCACACACGAATCGTATGTATATATGAATTACGTATGCGTGGTCATCCGCAAAAGTTTTCTAGAATATCTTTATCTCAATGTGTCGTCGTAGAAAAACTTTTGCGGAGTACGTTCAAAAATTTCCAATTTTCTATGATTTAATTTAATCGTAACTCTT